GAAGAGACCACATTGTTGTTTTTTTACAAGTAGTGTTTGAGCAAAAATAAATAAATAAGAGGAAATAGTTCTAGATTTTTTTTCTGGAGATTTAATTCTGTCACAGAAGAGACACCCCACTCTAAATCATATTTCCCTAAATTCATCAATTCTAATCCCCTTCTGTTCATGCCCCATCTTCCCTGTCTTTTTTTTCTTGTTTTCCTCCTTGTCTATTAATCATATCTCGTCTATATTTTTTAATGAGTCCACTATAAAAAATAGTAACTTGGTTGAGCAAACAGGTTAAGGAGTGGAGGAAGACATGAGTGGGATGGGAAAGGATGGATAAGTAATAGAGCAAGTCCCACAATGTGAAATTGTGGTCAAAGAGTTAAGGAAAGTTAATTATTTTTCTCTTCTTGTCTGCCTCCTGACTTCGTCAAACCCGAAAAACGAGTCAAGGACTTCAATATCTTAGAGTATTATTCATCTTGCAATAGATAAGTTTAAAAACAGAGGTGTGGATAGCAGTTTGTGAGCTCTTACAATAATCCTAGTAGTAGAAATGATGGAGTAGTTGCAGCGAGTGTGGAAATAAGTGGTGGGATTCTGGGTATATTTTGAAGAAAAAGGCAAGACTTTCTGAGAAGTTGGTCAAAAGATAAGTGATAAAGAGTCATAGACAACATCAAATGGACTTGCCATAATCTAGGATAGGGAAGAGGGAAAAGGAGCTGCGTGTTGAAAGTGAGAAGCAGATTTCAGGCTCAGTTTGGGACGTGTGAAGCTACAGCTGTTAACAGGAGAGTTTTTGTTTTCATTGGAGTTCAGGGGGAAAGTCTAGGCTAGAGATGGAGATTTGGAAATCATTAGTGCAACATGGGTATTCACTTAGGAGAGACATATAGATAAAAGGGTTCCAAGAACTGAGTCTTGAAGCAAGCCAAAAAGAGGTTAGGAAAATAAAGAGGACCAGCAAAAAGGGACTGGGGCAAATATATATTCAGAAATATATAAGTCCTTGTTTTAATTGTATTTTGGTTAGCAATTAGAGCTTATGACTTGAGTGTTACTTCATTATGTGCTTTATATTTTTTAACAGCTCCAAAATACGACATGGCTAGTAACAACATACACACACAGAAACATGTGAGGATGGGGGTGTGGATGTGCATTCTAATGAAAATAATACCAAATATATTCAATTACCTTATTTAATTAAATTACATATATAGTACAATTTAATTCAATAGAAAAAAATATTTTAAAACTAATTTAAATTTTCATTATCTGTGATTTGCAGTACTATTTATATTCTATAAAATATTTTGTCCAAGCAAATATTTTGTCTTTCTTCCAGAGTTGTCTGATTAATAGTTGACTCAAGTGTTTTCATCCAGTTTAAATTTTATACTACTATAAAATGAGTTTAGCTATATTCTTTTTATCTAGATAATTAAATTATACTTATTACTTTCCATTTAAGAAGCTATAACTGTTAAATATATGACATGTTTAAAGAGTAAGTCACTGAATAGGTAGATACAATTTATGTATACTTAAAATTATTTTGTGAGTGATGATATTTTTTTATACCATACTATTTCATGTTTTCATCCTGACACCAGCATTGGCTTTTATTATGGAAAATGAATCTTTCAGCCTCACTAGGTGAGGTGCTCATCATTAAAAAGACTTCAACGAAACAACTGATGCCTGCTACATAACTCTGCTCCAAAGAGATTGAATTAGGAGTAAGAGGCAGCAGTTAGGAATATGTCCCATGATGGTGATTGAAGAATGTATTGGGGAGAAAAAAGTGAATATATTGGGAGGAAAAAGATGAAATGCTGTTGAAAAAGTTTACGAGAGTAAACACTGGTATGAGAAAAGAACCAAAGCAACATGTGTGAAAAAGATGGGATATAAAGTAGCCTTGTAAAAGGTACTAAGAACATTAGAATACCTTAAGAAGGAACTGTTTTCAGAGTCCTTGTGTATCATGAACAACAGTTTAGAGGGGATCTCAGTCAAAACAATGACTGGGAGTCTAAAGATGCTCCGCTGTCTCCCTGCATCGGGATCTCCGGTGGTGCTTATCACAAAGGCTACAGCCTACTAAAGCAGAATCTCTTGATGTTGCCAAGGAGTCTGCATTTTTTCCATAAACATTGAGGTCCTGTCCTCAGCCCAAAGGGAATCTTACTATGACTGCTAAAATTTGAGCACCATTCAACTAGGGTATAAATAAAGAACGTGTGCAGAAAAAATCTTAGAAATGTGTGCATTAGAATAGAATGGAGTGGAGACTGTCAGGGAATTTGATAATGAAAATAGTAATATTCAGTAAAACAGTAACAGTAAACTTCTTGGAAAGAAGAATATGAGTAAAGGAGGAAGGCAATAGAGATTAAATGGATAGAAGTGAGTGTATGAGAGGGCAGAGGAGACACATTCTGAAGTCAAATGAAGAGAGAGATGGAAGACCCCACAAGGCCATAAGCATTCTAGCTTTCCAAAGGCTAAGCCCTGGTAAGCCTGTAAATAGCCATAAGAGGACACCAGGAAGTGACCTCTGTTGCCAGAATAGCAGACCTGCAAAGAGGGATCACATAGCAGCTACCACATAGCTCTGCATTGGGTCTGTAAGTAGGTCCTGCTTTCTGCCCTCGGAGCTGCTGGGTATCAAACGTTGTTCAAATTCTGGTGACACGCCTGTATCTTTAGAGAATCATTTTCTTTGCAAAAACAACATGAAGCCGTTTGATTTACTACAGTCTGTTATGGATTAAACTTTATATCCCGACTGAGTTCATGATTTCTTTTCTGAAGTCCTTAGTATACTCCTGCGTGAGATCTGTCTCAACCACTCAAAAAACCAGAAAGAGACATCAAGAATTGACAAGGAGTGCTGATTCCTTTCCCCTCCTTGCAATTGTTAGTTTTTATTTATTTATTTATTTTTTAGACAGCTGCTCACTCTGTCACTCAGGCTAGAGGGAGTGGCCTGATCTTGGCTCACTGCAACCTCCGCCTCCCAGGTTCAAGCAATTTTATTGCCTCAGCCTCCTGAGTAGCTGGGACTACAGGCGCGTGCCACCACTCCTGGCCAATTTTATATTTTTAAAGTAGAGATGGGGTTTTACAAAATTGGCCAGGCTAGGCTTGACCTCCTGACCTCATGATATGCTGGCCTCAGCCTCCCAAAGTGCTGGGACCATAGGCATGAGCCACCACGCCCTATTTTTTATTTACTGTAACTTACGTTAAGATAGACATAATAGGTAATTAAGGTATGTTTTATTTGAACCCCTCACTTCTGACATTTAAAAGTCTACGGATAAAAAATCAAGAGCAAATCTTTTTAAGTATCATAAACTAGAATGTGTTTCTTAGCCTTCATAAACCTGATACCTTCACTGACTTCTTGTTCAATCTTCTGAATACCCCAAATCTCAAAGGTCATTTCTTTTAAATATTTTACTAAATGAATAAATAAATAAAAGGGATATTCATTATATGTTTGCCAAAAAATATTGTTTCCTTAAAGATTCTGATAATTTTCCCCTGAAAAATCACTAGTGTGAAAGGAATAGAACAGAGAATGCTTCCTAGATGTCAGTTTTTCTTAATGGTGTCTGTGGTTTCAAGATGAGAAATAAAATTATGGAATTTAAATAACTGAGCTGGTAAAAATGTGGCAGACATATTCAGTAAATACTCAACATAGACTGCAAAGTTTTATGAAAAAATATCTTGACATTTTGGTATAATAAGATGTAAGCAAGTTTACACCAATCTTGTGAATACACGAGCCATTCCTTCCCTCTTCTTTCGTTCTGGCAACTGTTTTGCTGTTTTGCTGCTTTCTTTCTGGAGTGCCTCTTCATAATGAAACTGATCAAAGATTCCTTTTCTCTAAAGAACCCCTACTCCCATAACATGCTAGATGATGATTATAAAAGTCAATAATTCTCAAGCCTGTAATCTCAGCACTTTGGGTGGCCAAGAGGGGAGGATTGCTCAAGGCTAGGCATTCAAGACCAGTCTGTGTAAACAACACGAGACCTAGTCTATGAACAATGTGTTCTAAAAATTTAGCCAGGTGTGGTGGCTCTTACCTGTAGTCCCAACTACTCAAGATGCTGAGATCGGAAGGTCACCAGAGACCAAGGGTTAGATGTTGCAGTGGGCTCTGATTGTGCCACTGTACTACAGCCTGGGTGACAGAGTGAGATTCTGTCTCTTAAAAAAAATAAAAGTCAATAACTCTTTAGCTAATAATCAGTTTTAGATTTCTTTGTATGTTAAATGGAAAACCACAAGAACAAAAAGTCTCATGGTAAAATAACACCATGGAATAACATTCCATTACTAATGTCCTTTTTCTATTAAATAAATTTGCCATGTGCCCACTTGACATTAATTTTGTCCTCATTTCTCAGCTATTATAATTTAGTCCTTCCCCACCCCTCACCTAGTAACATGGGGGAAAATTTAGGTAGTAGGTATTAAATGCTATCTCTATGCCAATCACAATTTTAGGCACTTAATATGAATGGCTTCTAATGTTACCCACTTCATAAAATTGGATAATTATTCTCACTTTCCTGATGAGGAAGAAGGCTACCCAAGGTCACCCAGCTGGTTAGTGACAAGCCACGATTTAAGCTGGCTTGAATATAACAGCTCATTTTTCCCACTGGCTTATGTGGCCTCAAGCTCATTGGAAATTAATAGTAATACTAATTTGACTTGACATGATCATGTCAAATATTAGTATTACTCTTTCCAGTGTCTTAGCAAAGACAACATTACTTTACCTAGTCTTAAAAAGTGTTTTTGTCACCTTACATAAAAACTGTTAGTGCAATAATAAAAATCTCTTAGGACAGTTCTTATCTGATCAGTAGGAATGAGTGATACTTGGAGTTGTGTTTATCATTTGCCATCTGGTATTAAGGTCTGCACATTCGTTATGCTGTTTGTGTAACTTGTCTTTATCTTTGTTGTTGCAGTACTGGGTACCAGTTTATTTACTATTCACCTGAAAACACAGCCAAAGCAAAAGAAGTTCTCAGCAACATCAATCAACTACAACCTCTTATAGCAACCCATGCAGACCTACTACTTAATTCTGCAAGCCAGCATTCTCCAGACAGCTTGAAGAATTCTTTAAAGATGCTTTCAGAAAAAGTAAGATCCAAATCATCACTACAGTTGGGAAAATGAAATACTCAAATCCCCATTGGTATGACTTTCTGCATACATTGCCTTTCATAACATCTGGAAATGTAAAGTAGAGTAGGTTAAAAACTAAGCTTCAAAGCATTGCCACAGGATCAAAATGAATTGGTCTCATTCTCTGTTCAAATCTTACTGAGTACTCTCTTTTTTTTCTTAGTAGGAAATGAAACCTATTATTGGTTGGCATATATCTTCTCTTTTCCTTGGCATCTTTCATTTTCTTTGGTTTATGGTCTTATTAAGTGAATTAAATTAGATTTTGAAAATTACTTTATTTTCCTCTGGTGATCACCTAATTTTTATGCATATAAAGCTTCACATTTGAATAGGAATGTCACTTCATTTGAAGGCAGAACTTTGATGTGGATTTATATCAGTCTGTATGGGGTGCTTCCTCTGCCTCAGTTTGTTCTCTACAACATTATTTACTGAGAAAAGTTTCTAAAGATTTCCAAGTGCGTTAGTTATTTGAAAAGCAGTAGATTCTAAGCCTTAGTTTTTCCAAAGGTGACTTGTTCCTTTATCTGCAGAAAGGAGAGCTAGTCTGGAATGGGGTAGACACCCCATATCCACTTCCAGAACTAAGTAGGGCAAATAGTTGTGTGATAGATGAAGAGCTGAGACAGAAAAAGACAAATGACAGCTTGATCTTCAAAGTAAAACCATTGTCCGGGAGTAAAACCAATGTGTGCATCCTTAACCTTTGCCTTTTAATGAGATCATGTAATTTTTTAATGAGACACTTTCAATAAATATGACCTTGAAAAAAACCGGCCAAAGAAAATTATCATAATTGTAGAATAAGACAAAAGTAATTTTCCACCTCTCTGAAGAACAAATTCATAGAAACCTGGATCTTATGTATGTCCATACTTTTTATTCAGGTGTGTTAATTTATAATGGTAATATACTTACTGAAATGTTTCAGTTTAAACTATACATTTTTATGTTATTTTAATAGGAGAAAGCATATCTATTTTTGTGAAAATCTATTCAGAAAGGTTTAGTGAATTGCCTAATAAATTAAAAAGTGAAAAAACAAACTCAGCACTTCCAGTTCAAAATGCAGCATTCCTTCCATGCCAGAACACATGCGTCCATCATGAAAAAAGAGGAAAATATTTACCCAAATTTTACAAGTCCTTACTTTGCATCAAATAGGGCAAGGGGCTTCATACTTTATGTCATTTTATTTAGTCAGTATTGTGGAGAACATATTATCTTCTTTTCACATAGAAAAAGGCTAAATAAAGCTCAGAGAAATTTTAAAAATGTGAAAAGTCATGCAGAGTCAAATACAGGATTCAAACAAAACGAGGGTTCAAACCCAGGTCTGGATGATTCTAGAATGGAAGTTCTTTCTGTTGAATATCAGAACACTTAAGTATTCTGATATTCAATACATATGTTTTTATGGCTAGGGGAAAAGAAGAAAAGAGGAGGTTTTGCATACACAGTCAAGTAATATAATTTCATTTTGGTTCGTTTCGTTTTTGGATTTATAGATGAGGTGAGGTTTTTCTTGGTTCACCTAAGCTGAAAATTTTAGCAAAGTGCATACCACTGCAGTGATTATAGAGCAGTATTTATATTCTTCTGTGCACTGGACAGGGATTTGTCGTTTCATACACCATTTACAACTTGCTGCAGTGATTTTGGTGGTGGGGGGAGGTTAGGATGGCCATTTTCTTATCCTTGAATCCAGCATTACTGCAACTTTTTCCCCTATGATTTCTCTTTTCTACTGAGTAGACAAGCTTAGTCAACTAATGAATCTCTCAGTCCTTAAAACTAGGAGGACCTTTTTTTAAGTTAAGTTTGCAAGCTATGCATTCTTTTAAGAATTCATGTCTAGAATTTCAAAGAATTACCTAAGTTAACAGTTTTGTATAGTCTATGAAAACTGTTAATAGTTCATGGTTTAGAGCAGAAGATCAAACACCGCATGTTCTCACTTGTAGACGGGTGTTGAACAATGAGAACACACGGACACAGGGAGGGGAGCACTACACACTGGGGTCAGTTGGGAGGAAATAGGGGAGGGATGGTGGGGGGTGGGGAGCTGGAGACAGATAGCAAGGGGAGAGATGCCAGATGTAGGTGATGGGGAGGAGACAGCAAATCACACTGCCACGTGTGTACCTATGCAACAATCTTGCATGTTCTTCACATGTACCCTAAAACCTAAAATGCAATGCAATAAATAAATGGGAAAAAAAAAGAATAAAGTATCATTCTTGAATTCAGACATGAAAGAGAGAAAGTTTTGGTGGTATCCTAAATTTAAATATAATTTAATATTAGTGGGTTGTAAGCTTTAAGAGTTTTGTCTTTAAGTTTTGGACATGTTGTATACTATGGATTATAAAATTAAAATGCTTGCTTCATGGGTAGTTCCCTGGTTTATTTTACTGATTCAGAACTGGCATATTTGGAAAATAGGTACCAAGAGTTGTTTTCTTAGGGACTTATCCATATAGCATATTCAAGACATTAAGGAGTTATCTATATTCATGCTTATCAGGGAAATGTGAAGGTTTTATAGCTTTTGAGCATTTTGACATGGAAGAGTTTTCTGTCGTAGACTTGGGGCACTTGGGGCAGGCTCAGGGCAGCCCAGGGCAGTGAAGAAGGAGGTATTCTATTTTGTGATGAGATGGTATTTCTCCTCTTAGGGAAGCCATTGCACCTGGAGACAATAGACATGAAATCATTATCAATTAAACAGATACTCAGAGTCTGTGGGAAAAGCAAGTGGAATGGAAAAACTCAACTTGCTAAGAGGGCATATTCCAAGAGTCTTTGAGTAGGTAATATTTGTAGATCCAAAGGCAATTCACATCATCTTTCTGTTTTTCTTTTTTTTTTTTTAATTGTATTTTAGTTTCTGGGGTATGTGTGCAGATCATGCAGAATTGTTGCATAGGTACATACATGGCAAGGTGGTTTGCTGCCTCCATCCCCCCCATCACTTATATCTGGCATTTCTCCCATGTTATGCCTCTTGAACCTCCCACCCACTGCTGCCCCTCCCTTAGTGCCCCCCAACAGACCCCACTATGTGCTGTTCCCCTTCCTGTGTTCATGTGTTCTCATTGTTCAACACCCACCTATGAGTGAGAACATTCGGTATTTCTGTTCCTGTGTCAGTTTGCTGAGAATGATGGTTTCCAGATTCATTCATGTCCCTACAAAGAACATGAACTCATCCTTTTTTATTGCTGCATAGTACTCCATGGTGTATATGTGCCACATTTTCTTTGTCCAGTCTATCATTGATGGACATTTGGGTTGGTTCCAGGTCTTTGCTATTGTAAACAGTGCCACAGTGAACGTACGTGAATTCACATCATCTCTACTGCTACTGAGAACCAAGGCACAGGGATAGGGCCACCAGCCAAAATTCCATCCATCTAAACACCGTTGGTAGAGACACACACAATTTATAAATAGTAAACCTGAATTTATACTATTTGACAGATACTCTGCTCAACACAAAAGGTAGAAAAAAATAAAACACATGTCTTTATTCGCAGGAAGTCCAAGACTCTTGATAATAGTGGTTGTGATAATGATGAAGTGATGGTAATAGCTAGCATTTATTGCTGGCTTAATAACTGTGAGATACTCTTCAATTATCAGAGTTCCATGTGGTAAATAATATTATTTTAACATTAAATCTTCCTAATTCTGTGAAGTAAGTATTGTCAGTAGCCTTATCTTACACAGCTGAGGAAACTGAGGCACAGAAATACGAAATAATTTGCTTGCAATCACACACCTTGTGGTTTTGGCTCCAGATTCTGTGAGCTTGACCAGTATACTGCATCTTCAGATTGCTATATGGATGCTTGTGCATAGGACTAAGGAAACAAATGTGGGGAAAGGGAGGGAGTCCTACTAAAATTAAACAAAAATGAATACTTTTAATGTTTCATGTTCTAATATGCACAAACTCAATTAAATTGTGTCATAAGTTTTAAATTCTTAGTATACCTTCTTTTGGATAATTGGGTTTGGCTGTTGCGTATTAGTTCGTGAAAATATTAAAGTAATAATATAATCTTATTGTGTAAGAGTCTAACAAAAGGCAAGCTGAGTTTATCTGAATAATTCTAACAAAATGATAAAAGAGAGACCAAAATTTTAACATACAGGATGAAAGGTTAATAATATATTGAGATAAAAATGCATTTCCCTTTTTCTTGGACCAAAGGTATGCATTTCTATAAAGGAAAATAAATGAGGGATAGATAAAATAAATTCAAACTAAAATAAATAATGTTTTTAAAGGCCTGAATGTGAACAGTATACAGGTGTCTCTCATAGCTCAGAAATCTCTGTGATATTAACATTCAAACACCCATCACTTTCTCTATTCCCTTGAGATTGATAGATCTTGTTTAGAAAGTCATTATTATCCTGCTCATCAAAAAGCACTATTGAGCACTTAATTGTGTGTGGTATTGTACTCGATGCTATATGACAAATACTACATAGACATGGCTCTTAATTTTTACAACCTAAGAATTTAAAAGAATGGGGGTGTTTTACAATATTGCAATTGCTAAATAGTTAAAATAATGGGTTTTATTGCAAATATTAGAGGCTATGCTCACAGCATATTTGAGAAATTCTCATAGCTTCTAATTCCTACTATTCTTTCAACCTCAATATACTATACCAAAATATTATATTATGTTTAAAGGAAAATAAAAACTGTTGTATTCACAAACATATACAGTCAAGGTTTTCTCAAGAAATATTTTCTGTAATAGTGATGCCAGGCAGCTAGTGTGCTAAGGAGTTGAAGATACACGTAACAGAGAGAAGAATGTTATGTTGATTACTTAAGACTGAAAATTATTATTCTTTTATTGTTTATTCAGTGTAACTACTCCTAGGTCTAGCCCAGTCCCAAACTGTGGGAAAGAACTTAATAAGTACAA